AAGAAACATGGTAGTAGCAAAATTGCTAACATTAGCCTAGATTTTTTTTGTGAGATGGCTAAGAATTGGCATCAATGACCACAATGAATCCTCTTAACCCCAGAGCCAGCTGTAGTACTCAATATGACAGATGTCACTGATTTAAAGTTCTGTTAAACTCATTTTATTAAGAGAAAGGAAGAATCCTTTTAAACTTATCACTCTAAAGCCATATATCAAAACAAATCAAGACACAGAACTTAATTTTACTATCATAATAAGTAGCTTACATACATACCTAGCTTTAGGGTTTTTTTTGATGTTTGGTTTTTTGGACTGGTACTGGAGCTTGAACTCAGGGCCTGGGTACTATCCTTTAGCTTTTTTACTTAAGGCTGGTACTGTACCAGCCATAGCTTGAGTCATAGCTTGACTTCTGGCTTTTGATGGTTAATTAAAGATAAGAGTCTCACTCAAACTTCCATCCTCCTATCTCAGACTCTTAAGTAGCTAGGATTACAGGCTTGGTCACCTGGCTTGTACTTTTTTTTCTTGGCATTAAATCATAAAATAGCTTTCTCTATATCCTCACAATCTTTCAAAGGCCCACAGATATTCTATAAGGCATTCACACCTAAATTTACATGGCTTCTCACTCTTCCCAATATATTCCCTCCCCCTGCATTCTTTGGTATTATCATCAAAAGAGATAACATTATTCGAGTTGCTACCATCTCAACTAGAGTTTTTAAAATTCCCTTAGTTAATTATTCTGGAAGCATTATTACATTTCCATGGCTATGTCTTTCTTTTTCTATTTTTCACGTGAGGATTGAGTGGACTACTAGGCAGGCTTGCTAAAGGCAGCCTTTTTCTTTTCATGCAGAAAACACTTTGTCCTCAGAGACAGCGGCATGCTAGTACAGCCTGTCTAGACCATCAGCGTGCCCTCTAAAACCACAGTAGCTGCACCCTTCACATCCACTCGTCCATCCGGTCGCAGAGCAATGTTCAGTTCTCCTCCTCGTCTGGAACACTGAAAGGCTGAACAAAGCACAAAAGGAGTTAAGGGTATAGTGAGGGGATAGCGAGAGACTTCTCATTACCAGCTTGGAGTCCTCCTAAGGCAGCTGATGCTTTGGAAATTTGTTGTTGCTGTTGCTTTCCCCCATCCTGGGGCTTGAACTCAGGGCCTGCCCACTGTCCCTGAGGGTTTTTGTTTGTTTTTTCTTTTGTTTTGTTAAAGGCTAGCACTCTACCACTTGAGCCACAGCAAGTTAGTTTTAGTCACTGAACATTTATTGCGCACTTGGTGTATCCAAAGTGTCTTCATGTTGAGGGAAGCAGAGGTGAAGGGATTTTGAAGTAGAGTACACTTAAATTATATAAGACTGTCTCACATGAGTGATACATAACATTTTACTACATTTTCAAGGGCATAGGAGACAGGCAAAAAAAAAAGCAATTGGAAAAGAACTGTCCTACCACGCATTTGTTTCTTCCCGAGCTGCTGGGACCAGTAGCTGCTGAGGATAGTGTGTGCAGATCCTAAAAGGAAGGGAAAAACTGTAAGGCAATCTCGAAGAAAACAGGGGTGCCCTTTCCATCTATATGTAAGTGATCACAATCCATTGTCTAGTTTGACTAAACCTTAGATCATCTAGTCTTCAAATTAACCTAGCCACAGCAGAATTTAGAATTATGAGCAGAGACCCAAAAGAAGACACAGAATGTATGAACAAGCTTCTTCTAGCTGACTGCAGATTTAATTTTAATTGCTTCATATTAGTACTGGGGCTTGAACTCAGGGCCCGGCTGCTGTCCTTGAGCTTTTGTGCTTAAGACCATGTCTACCACTTGACCCAAAGCTCCACTTTGGGCTTGTTTGAAGGTTGTGGGGGGAGTTAATTGGAGATGAAAGTCGCACAGACTCCTGTTCAGGCTGGCTTCAAACCACTATCCTCAGATTTCAGCCTCCTGAATAGCTAGGATTACAGGTATGTGCACTGCAGGATTTAATTTTTGTCCTTCAGTTCAGTCAGTCCTTGATGGGAAAATCAAGGTCTTCACACACATCTATATCCTTCTAATGAAAGATGTAGCATGTCCTGGGGTGCACATGCAAAGAAAGGGGGGAACTCTGACAAAAGGCTAAGCCCCCTTCCCCACAAGAGGTGCTTAAAAGCTGCCAAGAAACAGTGACTGCCTTACTTGGGCCCATAGATGTCGTAGGAGCAGAATAAAAACTAGGCATCTAGACTTTTCCATTTTGTATCTATGTCCTTTCCCTAAGCCATTCTCTCCTACAATGACTTTGTAGCCATCTTTTCCCTCCTGATCATGGGGCTTGAACTCAGGGCTTGGGCACTGTCCCTGAGCTTTTTTACTCAAGGCTAATGCTCTAACACTTTGATCCACAGCTCCATTTCTGGTTTTCTTGTGGTTAATTGAAGATAAAAGTTTCACAGACTTTCCTGCCTGGGCTGGCTTGGAATCATGATCCTCAGATCTCAGCTTCCTGAGTAGGTTCACAGGTGTGAGCCACCAGTGCCTGGCTTTGTAGCTATAAAAACTGAGAGGCAAGCAACTGATATGGGCTCAAGACTGTATTGGGGGACAGACCTGCTGGGCTGCTCCAAGCAGCAATGGAGGCAGCAGCAGTGGACAGGTGTGAGTGCAATTTAAGCAAAATATTAGGAAGCGGTTGTCTGGGTCACATGGGTCACATTAGGTGGATCGTGGGAGTTAGGGTACAGAGTCAGTTCCAAGAAGGAATTGGGCTAGGAGAATTTCAGGGAGAGTCACATTCCAAGAAAGAGTGTAACGAGACTGTTCCAACTGGGCCTGGAATTTGTATGTCAAACCAGAAAAACATTATAACACTGGGGCAATAGAAACTGAACAGAAGTGGCTCAAGTGGTATAGTGCTCACCTTGAGCTGAAGAGCTCAGGGACAGTGCCCAGGCCCAGAGTTCAAGCCCGATGACTGACAAAACCAAACAAACAAACAAAAGAAACTGAACAGATTTTTGTAAACAGGTAGAACAAAGGACAGGAACTTAATCAGCAGGCTGACTCTCAGACCTTACAGTAGCCATCTTGAAAGCCAAAAAGGAATGAGCGGGAGACAGACCACCTGCCAGATGTCAGTGACTCATTGTGACAAGTCTAACAGATGACCAATCCTGAGACAACAGACTGTCTCCACATCTCTGACCCCATCTGTGACTTGAGACTATTTTGCTCTGCAAACCTTTCACTCCCTGCCCCAACTCTACCATTTTAACCTAAGGCAAATGTCGATACCCAAAAACATCTACTCCAAAGAACTAGCTGAAGTGATGTCCTCCATGGCTGCCATGCCATAAAATGAATCTCCTTCCTCTGCCCCTCACTGTGTATCTTTATTTAGTATATAGAGGTGAGTTGCCAGACCTGACGAAGGAAATGCTGGAGTTTGGTCCTGAGGTCTAACACTGAAGTTTTACCCTGAACCAGCATTCCTGGGCTTGGGAGAAAGGTGAGCCAAATGACTTTGTCAAGGACTTTTTTTCCTCACATAATTATATCTTAAATTTTAACCAGAGATCAGAAATGAAAATAAAGAAACAAAGGTAGGCACCAGTGGCTCATGCCTGTAATTATAGCATCTCAAGAGGTTAAGCTCTGAGGATTACAGTTCAAAGACAGCGTAGGTCAGGAAAGTCCAGTTGACTCTTAATCTCTTTCACCACCAAAACACCCAAAGAGTAGCTGTTGCTCAAATGATAGAGCAATAGCTCAGGGACAATGGATTCAAGCCCCAAAACAGGGAAATACATAGTAAGTAATTCAAAAAATAGAAAAAAGAAAGAAAGAGGAAACTTAAGAAGCAAAATGTAAAGTTATAACTGACTGAGAAGTCTTTGTGGCAAGAAAAAGATGTCCTCCTTCAGGAAAGTTTATCTACTGCAATGGAATGTTCAAGTAGAGGAATCAGCCATTCTTCTTTGCTCAAGGTTTGGCTTGGTATTAGCACTGTAAAGAAGCCCCTGAACCTCAGGCCACCCCAGAAGGTTGGTCATCATAGTCCAAAGGCCTCAGCACTCTAGAAAACACCACTACAGGGGTTTAAAAATGCCCTGTGTTGGGTCTGGGAAGGTGGCTTAGTGTTAGAGTGCTTGCCTTGCATGCCTGAGGCCCTGGGTTCGATTCCTCAGCACCACATAAGCAAAAAGAAAAAAGCCAGAAGTGGCACTGTGGCTCAAGTGGTAGAGGGCTAGCCTTGAGCTGAAGAGCTGAGGGACAGCGCCCAGGCCCAGAGTTCAGGCCCCACAACCGGACCCTCCCCCCCCAAAAAAAATGTTCTGTGCCAACTGAAATTCTTTGGGAAGCATCTGTGTTCCAGTGAATCTGCTCAGAATTTCTCTTCCAAAGTGGGAAGAAGAAATGTCCACATTGGACATTTTCCTGAGATGGCAAAAGGGCTGGCTTGCTGAACTTTGAATTTCTTTTGTTTTATTCCTCAGAGAATAACTGAGTCAAGGTCCTGAAACCACTCTCGCCCCCACCATCTGACAAGAAAGGGAGCCTTGAAACTAAGGGAGGCAACAAACAAGATCCCTGGTTGCCAGGCCAACAGATATGGTTCCCAGGGCCCTGGATCTGCCCACAGGATAGCCTTTCTTGACCTTCAAATAAAGGTCTGAGGTTAGCAAGTGGCTTACCAAATGATCCCTCCAGGAAGTCCTATCAAAAAGGGCTCCTAAAGATGCTGATCAAATCTCTAGGCTCAGGCCCATACCTGGGAGGGCATTAGGTAAGCAGGGCCTCCCCTTTGTATGCATGCATGAGGACAAGAATGATTACCCTACAATGACCTCTTTGCCCTATAATGCCCAGGAACTGGGTAGTTCAAGACTATTTCACTCTATGGGAGCCTGTGCAAATACACCTCTGGTACAGAAGCTGTACCTGTCAGTCAACCTGTCCATCAATATTCACACTAAACAAAGAACCACCACATCTCCTGACCCAAATAAAATCCCAGTCAAACTAAGCCTGGAACTATAGAACTCTGCTCAGCCTGCCCCTTACTCTGCTCTCATTCATTTCAATAAACTTTTTCTATTATTCTCATGATGCTTTGTGTCTTGCTTGCATTTATCTCTCTCCAGATGGAAAGAGCTAAGGTAGATGCATGGTACATTAACAAAACTTCTGCACCGCCTCCTTCAGAGCTGGCGTTCATGCCCCCCAGAAGGCTTCCCATCAACCCTTCCTCCTCCCTGGGCTGCTAGAGCCATGGTTTTCAATGACCTATGAAAGGAGGAGGCATTGCATTCCTTTGATTTCATCCCTCTCTTCAGGCTGGTGGAAGATGTGTCCTTGGTTCAGTGAGCTAGTTGCTTAGTTTCTAGAACAGCTCCAGTGATTAGCCAGTTTCTGAGTACTGTGTGCATAAAGCTAACTTGTTATCTGATCAAGATGGAGAACTGAAAGTTAGGAATGCATATCCAGGCTGTCTGACCCTGCTATAATGCTTTTCAGTGAAGAAATGGAGGGAGACAGAGAAACAAAGGGAGTTCAAGCAAGCATGGACAACTCATGCCTGTAACCCTAGCTACTCAGAAGGCTGGGATCTGTGGATCAAAGTTCAAAGCCAGCCAGAAAGTTCCTGAGACTCTCAACTCCAATTAACCAGCAAAAATCCAGAAGTGAGGTATGGCTCAAGTGCTAGATCACCAGTCTTGAGTGAAAAAAGCTGAAGTAAGAGTGTGAGGCCCTGAGTTCAAGCTCTAGTACCAGCACATACACATAAGTATCTCAGAACTAAAGCAACCTTGAAGGCCACGTGAAGGTCCTCTACAGAGTTATTTGTTATCCTTGTTTTTTCTTTCTTTTTTAAAGATGGGGTTATCACTATGTTGCTCAGTTTGGTCTTCAATTCTTGGCCTTAGCAGGTACTATAGTATGTACCACTATACCCAGCTTCTCCTCTTTCATGTTTAACCCCCTCCTGTGGTCTCAAAGAAAACAGTACCTGTTACGGGGTCCTCAGCCACATCCCACCATGGAGCAAAATATCTGGAGTAGAAGTCAAATGCTTGGGTCTGCCCACCAGGCTCTCCTTTCAGGGTGAGAATGAGTCCTTTCACCTTTCCTGTATTTTCAATGTGAGGCAGATTCTCTGTGTTCACCTTCAGGGTCTCTAGAAATGACCTTGGGTAGAAATGGTCTGGATTAGCACAAAGCCAGGTCATAGACTGACGACTCCAGAAAATGGGAGCCAGGCCAGGGCAACTGCCCAGATGGCTGCGCAATACAGGGAGGCCAAGTAGAGAGATGAGAGACAGAAAAGCCAAAAACATTAATATTGAAAACTTAGAAACTAGAACCAGAAAGTTAAGTGAAAAACCACCAGCACCCTCCCACCACTTTCTCCTTTCAGTACAAGAATAAGAGACAAGGGCTGGGAATGTGGCTTCGTGGTAGAGTATAGCCTAGCATGCATGAGGCCCTGGGTTTGATTCCTCAGTATTACATAAACAGAAAGGGCTGGAAGTGGTGCTGTGACTCAAGGAGTAGAATGCTAGCCTTGAGCAAAAGAAGCTAAGTGACAGTGCTCAGGCCCTGAGGACTTCAAGCTTCAGGACTGGCCAAAAAAAAAAGTATCACCATTTTGTGGCACTGGTGGCTCATGACAGTAATTTTAGCTACTCAGGAGGCTGAGACCTGAGGATCATGGTTTGGAGCCAGCCCCTGCAGAAGAGCCCCTGTGAGACTCTTATCTCCAATTGACTATCAAAAACCAGAAGTAGTGCTGTGGCTCAAGTGGTAGAGCACTAGCCTTGATCACAAAGAGGCTCAGGGACAGCACCCAGGCCCTGAGTTCAAACCCTATGACCTGGGGGAGACAGGGGGAGGGAGAACTACCATTTTGAGTCTTTACTCCCATTTCTTGCATGGAAAGCAGGAAGTACCCCTCAGCCACTTTATCTCACCATGTTATCCTATTTATTCTAAAACATTAAAATAAATTCTTGCTAAAACTTCCAACGTGTGAAGTTCTTCTAGCTGTGATACATCTTGAAATTCATTCCATGTGTGGATCTCCAGTTCCTGTGGTTTTGCGTGCAAGCTGGGAGGCCTTGGAGACCCCTCTTTCTTCATCCACTAAGTGTGGGCACAGAACAGGCAGACCAATACAGACCTAGAAATCCAAGGGTTCAGCCTCCCAGTGCTGACTCCGTTCACCATTGTGTTTACCTTTTATAAGAATCACTGAGCCGGACCAGGAGATTGTGGGTGTCTGGAGAATACTGGATATCTTGGACCAGGGTGTCACCTATAGCAGTCTGTGCAAGGAGACAAAAACTCCTCAGGAACACACTTAGGGCCAAGGCCTTGATCCCACAAAAGAGAAGGAAGTACTCATGAAGCATCTGCAGTTCTCAACAGGATTAGTTCAATCTCATGACTGGAAGGTATTCCCAGCACCAGAGGGCTTTCCAGAGCCATGTAGTTGTACTCTTCTAGCTCAAAATCTGCTCACAAGGGTATTTGTTTCATGTTAACTGGAAAGCCTATCTCTCCACTAGAGCTGGAATTTTTGGTCTCACAATTGCTAGGCAGGCATTTTACTGTTGAGCCAGGTCTCTAGTCCTATTTTTGCTGGCCTTTTTTTTTTCTAGTCCTAGGTCTTGAACTCTGAGCCTGGGCATTATCCCTGACCTTCTTTTGCTCAATGCGAGTGCTCTACCACTTGAGCCACAGCACCACTTTTAGCTTTTTTGGATAGCTTATTGGAGATAAGAGTCTGCTGGGCTTTCCTGCCAGACTAGCTTCAAAGCCTGATCCTGATATTTCAGCTTCCTGAGTAGCTAGGATTAGAGGCATGAGCTACTGGTGCCTGGCAGAGGCAAACTTTTTTTTTTTTTTTGCTATAGGGCTTGAACTCAAGACTTGGACACATGTCCCTGAGCTTTTCTGCACAAGGTTAGTGCCTTACCATTTGACCACAACATCACTTTTTTTTTTTTTTTTTTGGTGAGTCGTGGGGCTTGAACTCTGGGCTTGGGCACTGTCCCTGCGTTCTTCAGCTCAAGGTGAGCAGTCTACAGCTTGAGCCACAGTGCCACTTCTGGTTTTTGAGTGGTTTACTGGAGATAAGAGTCTCATGGAGGCTGGGAAGGTGGCTAAGTGGTAGAGCGCTTGCCTTGCATGCATGAGGCCCTGGGTTCGATTCCTCAGCACCACATAAGCAAAAAGAAAAAAGCCGGAAGTGGCGCTGTGGCTCAAGTGGTAGAGCGCTAGCCTTGAGCTGAAGAGCTGAGGGACAGGGCCCAGGCCCAGAGTTCAGGCCCCATGACCGGACCCCAAAAAAAAAAAAAAAAAGAGTCTCATGGGCTTTCCTGCCCAAAGTGCCTTTGAACCTCAATCCTCAGATCTCAGCCTCCTGAGTAGCTAGGATTACAGGCCTGAACCACCAGAGCCCGGCTATAGCACCACTTTCTTTGCTGGCAATTTTTAAAGAAAAGTTCTCACTTCCTGTGCAGGCACATATCTGGGAATGACACACTTATACTTCCCAGTAACAAGGGGAACAGGTGTTGGCTGATGGGCCCAGCACTTTTATTAAGAAGGACCCTTGAGGGCTGGGAAGGTTGCTCAGTGGTAGAGTGCTCTCCTTGCATGCATGAGGCCCTGGGTTCGATTTCTCAGCACCACATAAGCAGAAAAAGCCAGAAGTGGTGCTATGGCTCGAGTGGTAGAGCGCTAGCCTTGTGCTGAAGAGCGGAGGGACAGCTCCCAAGTCCCAAGACTTACACAAAAACATATTATTCAATCATAATCGTTACATAATTATTAATGATATAACTCTATAATTAGGCTGACATAATAGTTATAAACAGGAAATATAATTTTGCATTAATTTAAATTTATTAATACAATTTCTTATATAATTATATTATTAGCCCCACCTGTAGATAGAGTCTCCATGAGGACACCAGGCTACATTTCCTGTTTTTTTCAGGAGTCACCCACATTTTCATTTCTTTTCTTTTCTTTTTTTGGTTGGTCATGGGGCTTGAACTCTGGGCTTGGGCACTGGCCCTGCTCTCTTCAGCTCAAAGTAAGTGCTCTACCGCTTGAGCCACAGCACCACTTCCCGTTTTCTGGTGGATTTTATTGGAGATAAGAGTATCATGGGCTCTCCTGCCCGGACTAGCTTTGAACCGTGATCCTCAGATCTCAGCCTCCTGAGTAGCTAGGATTACAGGCGTGAGCCACCAGTGCCCGGCCTTTCTAGTCTTTTCTATGCAAGCATATCTCTCCTTCCTCAGTCTCATTTTCCCCACTGAAACCAGGCATGCTGACAATGGCCAGGTGGTTTCCATTCTTTCCCTCCAAGGCTTTTCTCTATACATTTCATGGAATGATTTTTCTCTGTCCCAAATCCCTGACTCTCTTGAATTTTCATGATCATCCCCAGGATTCATCTCTCTCCTTGTAGCAAGAAATGGATAGAAATGCAACATCCCTTCATTGTGAAAAATTGACAGAAGATGCCCTACCCGCCTTCCTCACCAGGAATCCTCCAGGGATGCCTTGCTCTTCACACTCTCTCCAACAGTCTCTCCTTCCCTCATCCCACAATGGAGGCTGAGGTTCACAATTAAGAGTCAAGAAAACTGAGAGTGAATGGCTCACACCTATAATCCTAGATCTGGCAAGGCTGAAACCTAAGGGTTGTGATTACAAGCCAGTCCAGACCAAAAAAATTGTCTAGAGACTTCATGTCCAACTAAGCAGTAAAAAGCCAGGCCGGAGGTATGGCTCTAGTAGTAGAGTACTTTCTGTGAGCTAAAAAGCTAAGTGACAATGCCAGATCCCTAGTTCAAGCACTGGTACCAGCGCATAGAAAGTCCTTCTTACCAGATA